ATTAGATCCTTGCTTTCGCGTCAGAGGTCATTTTGGTGGAATGTAAATGACACAAACTCAACAGAGGTTTGGGTTTCAAACAAAGCTCTTTTTTGTTGACCGACTGCAGTCTTTCCAACAGCTAGGCATGACGGTTCCCTCGCCTTGCCTGTTTCCCTGCCTGCGCCTCACTTCCTTTTAGGGTTGATAAAAGCAAGGAAGAGTTTGAAGAGAGATCATTGCTTTTGCTTCTACCACCTGATGTTCCGAAGTATGCACAAAAATTGTTGTTTTTTTATCCATTTAATAACACAGAAATACTAAATACTTTCTGTCATTACTACATTACTACTAATTTTGTGTTTTAGGGGGTTGATTTGATTTGCTTTATGACTAAGTACATTTAAAATGGTTTGTTTCTACTTAAGTTAAGACAGCAATAAAAAAAATAGGCTTTTTTGTGATATTTGTATTATGTATTTGTAAATATGTTGGTAAACTGCAATGCAGTGTAATATAATTGTTAACTAAAACTATTGAAAAAAAATATTTTTGGTCAAATAAAATAAAAAATAAATATTGATAAATATAAAAATGATCAAACACTTCAAGTTAAAAAAAACTTTGAAATGTTGGTTTGAAAACTAACTGAAATAAGTTTAAACTGAAATGGCTAAAACTTAAAGGGGCTATGTGTAGGTTTTTACTGTAAAAAATCTTTAAGATAGAGTCTTCCTTTGTACATTTCTGAGCCTACCATAATATAATAAAAAGAATGACACCTTCACTGTCCACCACGGTTTCCTCGATCAGCCTGGAGGCTCAATTGTGTGTGGAGGAGTCGGGTCCGAATTGGCGTGAAAAATTCACAAAATGTGACGTCATGCTTGGGCTTACATCCGTACGGCAGCCATTAGTAAGCAGTGGCAATCGCTAGCAGTAGTGTTTCAAATGGACTCTGGGGATGGAAAGAAGCGACCAGCCTCCAGCACAATCCAGATACCCACGGAAACTCCTCGTAAGTTAAAAAAAAGCCTTATCAAGAACGAGCATGAGACTGGCTGCAGTTTCTCTAACGGCCACTGGTGTCAGTAACGGTAAGATATTTCAGAACTTACGCAATGCTCCTTTAAGTGAAATAAAGCTTACCAGAAATACAGTATATAAAACATATAAAAATGACAAAAGCACATAGCAAAATGACTAAAATTAAAATAAAAACTTTACATTTAAAAATAAGTCATTCAAAAATATTAAATAATACTATAACTAGTTTATTATGGAAAGTTTTTCTCTTTTTTGTTTTTGTTTCCTATTGCCAGAGCAAAAGTAAGCAACTCAATATCTTTGATGCCCAATTTGATGTGATTTCTGTTGGGCAATAAAAATATGACGCAACTTCTTAAGCTTTATTGAAGTAGACATTCCATTTTAGTACAAAGGGCTCATCTATTTAAGTTGGTTTAGAAAGAAAGTGCACAGATTTGAGAAGTAGTGCTGGAGATTCTAAGAAACGGCTGAGATGAGGCTGCACAGCCCTACAGGAAACTCTGAGCCCAGGGGGAAAGGGAAAGACAAACAAGGGCAACAGCTGGGAGGGAGAGGAGACCAAAAGTTGTTAGTGATGGGGGTGGGGAGGAGCTGGAAGAGAGAAACAGAGATTTGGGAGAGTGTGAGAAAGAGACTGAGAGAGAGAGAGATAAGAGTTAGTCAAATATATCAGGTGTTTTCTTAGCAAAGATGAAGCTGTTGGCAGAGGGGGTTGTTTGGTCAAGTACCTGTTACCTTTATAGAATAGGAAAGAGCACAACACAAGCCGAATGGTTTCAGAACACTAAAGCAAATGCTATGGATGTCACAAGCAAGAAGAATGGCAAAAGGACAGCCATGTGTATTTATCTCACATGCAAGAGTGCCGTTTTTCTGAATATCAGTGGCTCAGACCAACAACACGATTGCATGAGATATGGCTTCACTTACATTTTAAACACAATATCTGTCTGTCTAAAAATGCCGTAATTTTCATCTACAAACGAAATTAGTTCAAAATAGAACAAAGGCTAAATTAATGTTGCTTCTTAATGATTTTTGACCAAATCAGTTGAGTGAATGACTTGTTGACTCACTCATAAAGAGTCACTTCGGAATGAATCAGTGTTTTGAATGAATTATTTGAGTAAATGATTAGATGAGTCAGCAGAGCATTACAGAAGTAAAAAAAAAAAAAACTTTTCTTGACTTTATTTTTAGTGCCTCAACAATGTTGCAACTATGTCAATATGAGTACTAGGTACTAGAGTCAGGCTACACTAATCTCTGCTAGTCATCACATAGTGTTTGCTTTACCATGACTGTTGGTTGGATCATCTCTAACTGTCACTCCAGCATATGGAAATCAGGGGAAATCAATAGTAAATGCAAAAAAATATTAAAGCTGCAAGCAGCATTTAGCGGTGTTCAAGCAGTTAAGGCCTTAAAGCACAAAAGCATCAAAAGACATTACGTTTTATGTATAGCACCACAGGTTTTGGACAAAATTCGACATAGTGGAACATTAAAAAACAAACAAAGCGGAGATATACATTTTGTCCGCCTTGAGCCAAGGATCACAATGGTGCAAAAACCTTCAGGCTAAGTCAAACCATCTTGGAGTTATGTGCAGTTTAGTACTTTAAGGTACTAGTTTTCAAGTCTCTAGGCTTTACGGTTTGGTCTGCACGATGCCTTTTTTTTCCAAAAAAATCGTAGCAATTACAATAGGTTTTCCTGCACTTCAGCTAGATTTTCAGCTGAAACACCTAAAAACGCAGATTAACCGTACAGTCATGCATATTTAGCCAAATAAACAGGCTTTTCAGCTTTTAAAATGGAGGAGAAAAAGCTTGCCTTATTTTTTTGTTTTTGACGTCAGTGGCAGGGCGTCCAGTCAAACTAAACCGTGTTTTGTAAACAGTATTTCATTTGTCACTTGTATGTGGCTAAAATTAAATTTTACCAGTGTTTGTTCCATGTTTTTAACTGGTTTATTAATACTGACATATCAAACCCAAAATGAAAAAAACGAAACAAAAAAAACGTTCTTCAGTAACAAACGCCAGCGATTTCAAACAGCTTTTTTGAGACCGTCTTTGGATCATTGCAGTTTTAAAGGAGAAAATACTATGCAATGGTGTTGACATAAATTTGCTCATGGTTTGTCTTAAAGCATATTAAAACCACCACAAAGACAACATTTAAAAGCTTGACTTTTTAAATCCATAGGGGGACTTTGAATGATAAAGTAAAAAACTGAAACTGCTTGTCATTTTTTCAGTGTTCTCATACTGCTTCCATCTAGATTTAGTTCAGTCATGAACACCAGTGTGAGAGGTGCTGTGTGCTGGCAGTAGGACCCATGAGGAGCCTGGCGGAGGGCATTGTTAGTTGATTGTTGTGGATCCAAGCCAGAGCTTTGCAGGGCAGACAAGGAGAACTCTCAGGTTACACTGCAAGCACATGCCTGGAGAGAGAATATCCTACCCCCCTTCCCGTCCCTCAAACACCCGCATGCCTCCAGTAATCCATGGAAGCATATGCTATCCTACAGCTCTATACCTGTGTCATGCTGCGGCAATGCCTCAGATATGCAAAGCTGCATGAACATGGTATGGAGTCCATTATTCAAAGAGCATTACCATTTGATCAGGGCTTCTCCACCACACCGGTACATGATTTCTGAATATGGGGGCCCATTGAGCAGCACATTGTGAATGGAGCGGCGCTGGTGCCCTCAGTTTATGAGTTTTTGTGCCCCCGCTGCTTGGTTGTTTCTGGCTTAGATTACTCTGGCCTTTCAAAACTGTGTTTGACCTCATAAAATATCTCACACATATCAGCAAGTCTTATGAGTTTGGTTTTATTTATTATTTTTAAGCTGTTAAAAATCTGTATCTGTTCATCCTAACCAAATTTTCCTTTTTGTTCTTGTTTTGTAATGCACAGCTATGGAAAAATAGTGTCTACTAAGGCCATCCTTGACAAGACCACCAACAAGTGTAAAGGTAAGATGTGTCGCATAATGTAACATTTAAAAGGATTCTTAGAACTATCTTTAACAAAAAAAACTCACATAATGTGGCTTACTGTGAAAGCCATCAAGTTCAAAAAAGTACAAAAAACAGTCTTCAGATGCCATAGTTTTGGCTGAGAAATAGGCTAAAAATTAAGCTGACATTCACAGAAAATCTTACTTGAAAGCTGTGGCCACCATTCACTTTCATTGCATGGAAAAGAGCAGCTTGGATATTCTAAACATCCTGGTGTTTCACAGAAGAAAGAATCTTATACAGGTTTTGAAAGTCATGAGAATGAATAATTGAATTTTCATTTTCGGGTGAACTGTTCCTTTTAACTCGTGAGTGCTTTTAAAATATGCTTCATCATCTATTTTATCTCTAGCAAATGTGTACTGATGTAACAGATATGAGATTGGTATTGCATAACACTACATCTGTTAAGTGGACCAATGCTAGTACATTCGTATGTGTGTGTGAGAGAGAGAAAGTGTGTATGGTTAACTTGGTCTGGCTCTTTTCTCACAGAGAGATTACCAGTGTGATCTAAGATGTAGAGGAGTGATAGGGAACGCTATTGGCTTAACTAAACTTTAAGCAGTGATCACTGATCCTCTGTGTGTGTGTGTGTGTGTGTGTGTTCAGGCTATGGCTTTGTGGATTTCGACAGCCCGGCCTCTGCACAGAAAGCGGTCACAGCGCTAAAGGCCAGTGGAGTTCAGGCTCAGATGGCAAAGGTAAGAGTCAGTGACACTGAACACCCTGCTCCTTAATGGCTCATACTTACCGTAAACATTGTGAAGCACTTTGAAACGTCTTCAAACGAATTCCAAACACAAGCATCAGTATTATTATTGCTCATACTCGAGTTTGGGATTTTAACAAACCGCTGAGCCAAAGTTTTCAACTGGTGCATATTTGTGCTACGGAGATGAATGATGCTTCAAATCATGCGGATGGATGAGGAAACATGTGCTATTACTTTTCTTAACAAACTTAAGATTTTTGGCTGGTAGATAATAAAATGGGTGAAACATTTCATGGATTTACACTGAGGGAGGGACTTGGAGGAGGTCCTGTTGCAACATATTTTTGCAGCATTGAGCACTGTTACCAATCACAGACTGCTTTGTTGAGCACATGAATACAATGACAGGTCAGAAGCATTTAAATAAGTAACTGGCATAAAAAAAGAAGAAGAAATCTACTCGGGAAAAACGTTTGTTTTGTTTTGCCTGAATTTACTCAAACATATAGTCTGATTATAACCAATAAGATGCAAAAAAATAATATTAACTGCTGATCGGTAAGATTTTATGTTTTTGAAAAGTAAAACAAATACAGTTTAAACATGCAGAAATACAGTAAAGCAACATTATACATTAGAAAAATAGTAAAACACTGAAATATATTATTGCAATTTGAAATTCAATTTTAAAATGTAATTTATTCCTGTGATGGGAAAGCTGAATTTTCAGCATCATTACTCCTGTCTTCAGTGTCACATGATCCTTCAGAAAACATGACATTTTTCTTATCAATTTTGAAGAAAAAAAATTCATAAATTTCAGAACAGCATGAAATAGGACTCTTTTGTAATCTTTTATAAATGTTTTACTGTCACTTTTGATCAATTTAATGCATCCTTGCTGAATACAAATATTAATAAAACCCAAACTTTTGAATGGTAGACAGCTTTATCAATCATAACAATAATGAAGAATGAAGCCCTACTGACAGGCACACTCACATTTTGTGTAGTTTTAAAACATTTCTTGGATAAGTTATCACCTGTAACAAAATATTGCCTCTCTGATTCGAGGGAAAGCTAGTTATTACTGTTAAAAGTAAATGGCGGCGGGAAATCACTTTAGTGTAGGACGGACGCCTGACTATTTTACCACACTTGGGCTGTCTGTGGGTGTTGAGCCATGAAAACGGAGCTGGTGTCCCCATTAGGCTCATGCAGGTCCGCCATTGAGAGCAGTTCAAAGTAAGTGCCTGAGGAGTATTTGTCCCGTTTCTGCTCCAGCTCTACAAAGAGTTTGTGTGTTCTCTCTTTCACCCATGGCTGAGTCACTGTCTGAGCAGCTTGGCTGGTAGTTCTGCACGGGCTCCGTAGAGGAGTGTGGCCCTGCAGGCCAGCACTGCTCCTGCTCCTGCCCTGGCCAACCACGCACACACACACACACACACACACACACACACTCCTACAGATTTCACACCCTTTTAATGAGGTTTGTGATGAATCTCACGAAAACATTTACAGATCATCACAAGAAAAAAAACAATATACAATACATTTTCCATAGAGAATATACAGTAATAGAAGATTATTTTAATAATATTTATTACTGTAAGATATTTGGGGAAATATTTGAATGATAATAATTGGTGGTGATCAAATAATTCTAAGATCTTTTCTATGACGTTTTCTAACAAGACAAAAGCTCACTGTATAATTATTTTTATTGTAATATTATTTTAATAACAATTAATATTTATAGATTTTATTATATTATTAAAATGACTATCATTATCACATTTTTTTTTTAAAAAGTCATTATACTGTAATGCAAAAAAATAATGATAAAAAACATTCTCTAAAACTTTTACATCCAGAATCACTGGATTCTTTACTTTTTGTACAGATCGTACTTTTTTCCTAAATGGTAATTATCATTCATTTGTCGGTCCCACTCTATAGTGGATTGAAGTACATTGTAAAAAATATATATTTTCATGATTTGTAATCACAACATTTTTTCTTTTGTCAAATCATCTTAAATAATTTAAGTAGTTCGGATAGCATAATATTTGGAGTTTCTGATGATTAAATCAATCTCCTTCATTGTTTTAACTCAATTTTTCCATTTCAATGAACTTAAAATTTGAAGGCAACCAGGTTACTTAAATTTTTTAACTAAACCAACTATATTTTTTACAGATAGATGTACTTAAATCGAAAAATAAGTACAATGTACTTAATGTACAAGTACAATGTAAATAAAAAATAATTACATGCAGGTTTTTTCAAAATAAGTATAATGTATGTACACAATAAGTGTACTTGATGTAAGTACAGGAACGTCTGTCTGTCTGTGTGTGTGTCTGTTAATCGCATATCTCTCGAACCGTTAGTCCGATGGATCTCAAACTTGACAAGTGTCTTGCTACGGGCACGAGTAGGTGCAGTGCCGAGTTTGACGTTGTTTGGATTAGAAATGCAAAATATATCTCTAAATATATCGCTAAAAGAAGCACACATTGGATTTTGCCGCTCTAGCCACGTTCTGAATCGTCGCTCTTATTCATTTGAGCACTAAAACACACCAAACCAACAATTGCTAAAAGCACACGGGCATTATTTTGCACAGGCATTTTGCACTAGTAATACTTAAATCCACTTAATATAAAGTGGGACCAATTTGGTCCATTACTGCAATAGAGTATTTGTTGTAGTATTTTCGCCACACTTTAGATTAGGGTCCAAATCTCACTGTTAACTAATATTAACTATGACTTATTCCATGATAAACTCTCAACTACTGCTTATTAATAGTTAGTACAGTAGTTTAGTTTAGGTCTTAGGTAGGATTGAGGGATGTAGAATATGGTCATGCAGAATAAGGCATTATCATGTGCTTTATAAGCTAATATCCTACAGTAGTAATATGCATTATAATAACAACTAGTTAATAGGGAGAATTGGAAACTAAAGAGTTACTATATTTTTCTTATGTAAATCACCAATTTAAATGAGTACAACAAACGTGTGTATGTTACTTTATCTATGAATTACAGTAAAAACATTGTTTTCTTTTTCATTTCTGCAATGTGGTAATGAGAGATGTGGAAGAGATGTGCTTAATTGTGCTGGAAAATATGTCAATAGAAAAATGCAACAAACAAAAAAACCAAGGTTGATTTTCTTTAAGCAATCAGTTTTGGGGTGAAAATGTGAACTGAACATATTCTAGAAAGATTTGTGAGATTCACCCATTTAATGTGTAGATTAGCGTGAAAGTGCGACCTCTTCACACAAGAACATCACTAAGCACCCGTCTTAATTACAGCCGTTTTAGAGTCTTTTAGTGACCTGACCTTTTCCTCCTCCCATTCACTCTGTGGAAAAAGCCACCTTCTCGCGGTGTGATTAGATCAGTGCAAAAATCACCTTCATCACAGGTCACTGCAATTAGATATTCATTATTCATGGTGGCGAGATGATCTGGTAATACATTTACAGCTCACATTTTAATCTCATCTGCACACCAAAGCACTGAATATGCAAATCAGCAGCGGGGTGATTCGGAGGTTTGCTGTCTTTCTGATTTGTTGAGACAAGCAACACACAGATCATGCTTCAATGATAATGAAGAAAATTAATTTGAGACGCATAATATGATTAAGGAGTTTTGAGATCCTAAAGCCTCCTATTCTTCTCGCCTCATGCAGGAACTGGGTAATCTGTAGAAGACATGCAAGCAACAGTTTTGTGTTTTTGAGGTTAGAAAGGTGTCACTTTGTATTGTATGCATATTTGTTGTCATGCCTGCAGCTTCAAATTAAGCTAATTAGGTGTTTATATGGTAATGAGCTGGCTCTGTACTGGCCTTGAAAACGGTCATTTTGACGCCTTTTCCCAAAAAACATATTGATGTCTAAAACTCCTGCATATAATTATGCAAAGATGTGAAATACACTCTTTCTATTTTATATATATTTAGGTGTTCAAGCACGAAGTGCTGAAAACCTATTTATTTGCTAGAAAGAAAAAAAAATCCCCTAAAACGCATCGTGCAGCCCAAACCGTAAGGGCTGGAGCTCTGAAACTTTGTCAAATGCTAGGGCCTCAAATTGAAGGGCCTCAAATCAGAGTATGAGCCTGATTGGCCCATAGGTGGCGCTACAACAACCAAAAGTACTAAATTGCTCATAACTCCTAGAACTTTTGACTTCAATGTTTCTACACCACTGTAATCACTGGCTCAAGACGGACAAGATGTATATCTCGGATTTCCATTTGGAGCAAAAAAAAAATTGTTATTTCGGTTTTAGTCCAAAACCCACTTTTGCAAACTAGTCCCTGGTTTTTTGCCCAATCGGGACCAAACCAGTCTAGGCCTATTCTCTGGACTCTCTAGATAAATAATTATCAAAAAAAAAAAATCGAAATTTTGCATTTGGTTGGCTGTAACAGGGTCATGTAGATATAGTGGTCTGTGGCAAAATTCAGTCAAAAGCCAGTAAATCCCCCCCACAAAGTCACAACTTCAAAAAAATCTAAGAGCATGTGTCCTAACATGGTTAGGAAGCATGCAAAGTTTAGTGAGGATCGGATCATAGGTGGCGCTATAATCGTCAAAAAGGTCTCTCATTATTAGGTGTTTATTAAGCACATTATTAAGTGCTGAACTAAAACGCATCGTGCAGGCCAAACTGTAAGGCCTAGAGACTTGAAACTCATCCAGATGGTAGGGCCTCAAATTGTGGAGAAGCTATCAGAGTATGAGCCCGATTGGCCCATAGGTGGCGCTACAGCAACCAAAGTTTATCCGCAAAGTTTCGTGAGGATCGGATTATAGGTGGCCAATGAGTGGTGTTTTACTGCCCGCTGCTGTTTAATTTTTTTTTTTTTTTTTTTTCAGAATACTCAACTATAATTCATAGTATAACTTTATCAATTCAATCTTTTAACATTTACAACCACATTTAGTAAAAAATGACTATGATCCTGAAGTTGAAAATGAGTGTGTGAACTAAACTGTAGTAAATCATATTTTAATTAGCATGGTAAATTATGATAAATCATATTGGAACATGGTTAATTATGTAATATCACACTGAAATGTAGTATATCATGATAAATCATGCTTGCTACATAAAACTTAATGTCTTTTGATGCTTTTGTGCTTAAATGCCTTAAAGATCTGAACTGCTTGAACACCGATAAATGCTGCTTGCAGCTTTAATTTCTATGAATTTGTTCTACTTTTTGGTAAAGAACATCCAAAGTGCATGTGCAGGATTCGGTAGGAGCTGTATCAGTCTTATCTCTCCAATCACACACACACGCATCTATGCACAAGGCTGCCGAGTCAACAGAAATCAAATGAAAGATAGGAAAGACTGTGAAGACGTTATGAGGTAAGAGACTCTGTAAACTTCTGAACTCTTTCACAGTCTTTCCTACCTTCCTTCCTTTGATTTCCACTACATTTTAAAGGTGGAATGTGTCATTATTGGAATATTCAGGTCATTCCCAACTTAATGTCTGTATATTGTTGTTACAATAAACAATAACAATAGATTTGACTCTGGAAAGTTAACCCAGTTAGTTATCAATGTGAGCATACTGGGAAGGGACAGGGAAAGGATGTGATGTAACTATCCTAAAAAAGGCCCAGTGTTTGATGGTGCTCTGCTTTGTGTCTGACAGGCTGATGAGGTCCTAACCTCACTTGCCCTTAATCCTAACCTTACTGAGCCTGTAAGGCTGATCAGTCCTTCAGGAACAAAGCAGGGCACTTTGCGTACATCCACCTACAGGAATTATGTCAGTAACACATCAGTCAGTCTCAAAAAGCACCATAAGGGGCTGTTCACTTCACACAAAGAACGTTTTTACATTTCTCCGCACTGCTTTACCATTTTCCATTGTAAACATGAGCTAGACGGAGAGGGGCTTGCACATAACACTGCATTCTAAAATATGATGCTCAAGTTAATTATTCAACTAGTAATTAACCTTCAAATGGTCTTCGTTTTCTGTTTACACTTGTGGGCTTCGGGGTCTATACGACCCCAACAATTGATTGAGTAATTGTACAAAAAATATACATTTTTAATCATACAAATAATATATCATTTTATTTGTTTACTTCTCATCTATTCATTAATGCTGTGTTTTTGGAGATATAAAGTACTTTTGTATCCACATACCACACAATTCCTCAACTACACCATTAGCTTGCATTTGAAATATTATTTTTTTTATGATACATTGAATTTATGCTCTAGTACTATGCCTTCATTTCTGTGTAAAAATTGTAAGATTTATGCCAGATTTTTTTTTTTTTTTTGACACATGGAAGAAAATATATTTCATTTTTTTCACATTTCCCATTTATTTCAATGTGGGGTCATATTGATTCTGAAGACCAGAATGTAAATTTTTTTTTACATATCTTCAGAACAACCAAATCAAGCCTAGTTTTTCTGTGTGTATAGATAGATAATCTATGAAAAGTCACAAAATCTTATTCCACTGAGATGAAGGGAACCTTTTTTTTTTTTATGAAGTAAAAGTCGATTGGGGTCGTATAGACCCCATGACACGATTGAGGGCTACAGACCTTGTTTTTGTTTTTTTTTTCCCCTTCACCACCCGGTGTGATTGGCTCCTTAAAAATGGTCCAGATGACCAATGCACTATATTCCAAGTGTATTTATCGTAAGTAATATGCGCTGTGTGAAAATTAGGCTGAAATTTAAAGGGTTAAAGGGTTCACCCAAAAAAAAAAAATTCTGTCATCATTTATTCAACCTTGTGTCGTTACGAACTCGTAAGATTTTCGTTCATTTCCGAAACACAAATTAAGATAATTTTGATGAAATCTGAGATTTCTATCCCTCCATTGACAGTCCACGCAATTACCACTTTGACGCTTCGAAAATTTCTTAAAGAGATTGTAAAACTAATCCATATGAATTGAGTGGTTTAGTCCAAATTTTCTAAAGAGACACAATCTCTTTAAAAGATGAACAGATTGAATTTCGGCTTTTATTCATTTATGGACTTTGATCACCGAACATAAACAGAAGCTCAACTGTACTTGCTTTGACACGCAAGAAACAAACCTCACTGGTTCTTGCGGAAGCTCAAACATGCTCAAACTAGTTTAGCTCATCTCTTTATGAACTTTTTGAAGCATCATATAGCTTCATAATCTTTCAATTGAGGGACAGAAAGCTCCTATAGATTTCATTAAAAAAAATCTTGATTTGTGTTCCGGAGATGATCAAAAGTCTTAAATGACAGAATATTCATTTTTGGGTGAAACATTATTTCACAGAAATACGGACAGAATTTAATTTTTCGGACAAACATATTCTTTAAGATGAAAACAACCCAGAATATTCCTTTAACCTAGTCATGCCCACATTTGTTTCTCTCTTCTTCATTACCTCTACAGCAACAGGAACAGGACCCCACCAACCTGTACATTTCCAATCTGCCTCTGTCTATGGATGAGCAAGAGTTAGAGAGCATGCTCAAGCCCTTCAGCCAGGTCATCTCCACACGCATCTTACGAGATGCAAACGGCACCAGCCGAGGAGTGGGTTTCGCCAGGTACGCCTCTCACGCATATAACCCGACATAATCATCATTAATATTCCATTAATAATACATTTGCAATTACTCCGTTAGGATGGAATCGACTGAAAAATGTGAGGCCATCATTCAACATTTTAATGGCAAATACATCAAGACTCCACCTGGAGTAGCAGGTACAGCGTTACGGCAGTTTTCATATTGAGGATCGTATGGTTATACGACAGATAAATAATGACTAATGTTTTGACTAAGTGCCTATAGAACCCTTGCTGTGTAAATTTGCGGACGGGGGACAGAAGAAACGTCAGAATCAGGGGAAATATCATCTAAATGGGCGGCAGTGGCCAAGAGAGGGCGAAACTGTGAGAGAGATGATTTTCCCAGCTTTTTCATGTTGATGTAAATCATTCTGTAGTCCAAGTCTTAAATCGACTGTCTCTCTCTTGTTCTCTCACACATACAGGGCGGGATGACGCTAACATATGATCCTACTCCTGCTTTACAAAATGGGTGGGTTCTGAAACCAATACTCAAGAAATGTTGTTCTTTGTGCTTTCAGAATGACACAGCATGGTAAACGCGAAATCTTTTTCTTTAGAAAAAGAAAAAAAATTGTGTGTTTGTCGCCCCCTGCAGGTTTTATTCCCCTTCCTACAGCATCGCTCCTAACAGAATTATTGCTCAGACTTCTATCTCTCCCTACATGCACTCACCTCTATCCACCTACCAGGTACTGTTTCTTTTTGAAGGAGCTATATTACTGATTTGCTTAATATGTATATTTGTAGTATTGTTGAAAGGAATAGTTCACCCAAAAACTCAAAATCATAATTTTCTTACATTTATGTCATTCCAACCAAAGTGCAAAACAGCTGTAAAGTAAAAAAAAAAACAATTTGACGATATGAAAAATGATTGATTTAAGACATTTAAGTTGTTATTTACTGAAAATCGTAAAATCCACCTTAGCTTATTAGTTATAAATCATTATAGATCTAGGGCGAGTTGCATAAACTGCTAGACTAGTCTTACAAGTTAGACATCCAATTTTTTTCTTCAAGACTGTTCATTACTTTTTAAAGTTAGTTACATAAAAATGTACATTGGTCTAATTTGATACCGAACAGTAAGACTGATTACCCCTAACTAACTGCTAGTTGATCATACTAACGTCTTAACATAATGGCTATGTTTATGCAACTGGCAACTGAATTATATTGAATAAGGAGCCAAATCTAAAGTATATTCTTTTAATTGCAGGTACACAATCCCTCCTGGATACATCACCAGTCTTACCTCATGCAGCCCACAGTAAGTTGCAGTTAAACTGCTGATCCATTTCATAAAGCACCTTGCTGTACCTGTCTAACTTCTTTTCTCTCCTGTGCACAGGGCACCGTCCTCACGCCTTCAGTGGACCACACCATGACCATCCAGCCAACTGCCATATTAGGCCCTCTCACACAGCAGCTCAGCCATCTAACCCTGGGCAGCACAGGCACGGTACGTCCCCCACAGACATATTACAAATGTAAAAAAAAAAAAAAAGAAAAGCTTTTTAATTTAGTTTAATCTTTTTATTTGTAATCTGTCTTTAAATTTAATTAAGGTTTGTAAGGTAAGTTGTATACCTTTGCAAGGTATAACCGATGACGAATTAGTAGAAAAATACCGGAGGTGGTAATACGGCCACGGCGCTAAATGGAGTAGTGTGCATTGTTTTTTTTTATAATTCAACAGCCCGGAGTCAATTATTCTGCTTATACTACAGTTACCACACCTCAAAACATTGTTCATATGATGTATTTTATGACGTTTGTCCGATTTTTTTTATGTCCACGTCATTCTTTCTTCAGTCGAAAAGAATTTAAGAATAAAAGTTTTTGATGAAAACATTCCAGGATTTTCTCCATATAATGGACTTCAATGGGAACCAAACGGTTCAAGGTCCAAATGAGAGTTTCAGTGCAGCTTCAAATGGCTTTAAACGACACCAGATGATGAATAAGGGTCTTATCAAGCGAAACGATCGCTCATTTAAAAAAAAAAAAAAATTATAAGCACAAATGCTCGCCTTGCTCTGTTCTGTGATAAGCGTTTGTGACTCTCCTGATCTTTTTTTGAGTCATGACTCGAAGGGTCCTAGATAAGACCCTTATTCATTGTCTGGTGTCATTTAAAGCCCTTTGAAGCTGCACTGAAACTCTCATTTGGACCTTGAATCATTTGGTTCCCGATGAAGTCCGTTATATGGAGAAAATCCTGGAATGTTTTCATCAAAAACCTTAATTTCTTTTCGACTGAAGAAAGAAAGACGTGGACATCTTGGATGACATGGGGGTGAGTAAATTATCAGCAAAAGTTTTTTTAAAAGTGAACTACTCATTCAATTCGTTTTTATTTCAGTTAACAAAAAATGTTTTCGTTTACACACTACTTTCGTAAACACTTACACTACTCTAATACCCATTGTATTTAAAGTGTTACAATTAAGTATTTTAACTCCTGCCATGACCATGCAAATCTAATAAACCCTAAGAATAAAGAATCACAGGAATTATGCAAAACAATATGAACCAGTTTTTCATCTACCTAAAATATTCCTCTTTTGTGCGCTGTCAGTGGTTATCACACATTTGTGTCCTTCTGTTCTCAGTATATGCCTGCAAACACAGCTATGCAAGGGACCTACATACCACAATATGCCCAAGTGCCTCCTTCAAGCATTACAGCTGAGGTACGAAACACCTGCATGCTAAATTATTCTATGTGTTTGAAAGCTTGAATCACTGCGACGGATTGTCAGTAATGTTGACCTTATGCCACTGCAGGAAAATAGCGTCCAACAGCAGCAAGTTGCCATAGAGACACCCACAGACCACACAACATACTCCTACCAGCATGGCAAGTGAAGAGGAGGTGGGCTGCCTACTTCCTGTTGCTTTGGAAATGCTGTGGTCTGTAATGGAAAGAGAGTGAAAACAATGTTTAGCCACTAGATTATGTGCTAATAATATTGGTCTATTCAAACAAAATTATAAAATCAATTCTCAAACTAGATGGATGAGTATTAAGTAGATGTTTTGTCTTTTTATAAGCTTCTATTCTGACTGTATGATCTTTCTTTCTCTCCTTTTAGTACATTCATAGGAATGATGGAGGACTTTGGATACGGAACCACCTCTCTTGACATGAAAAGAAATGGATATTGTGAAAAGGAACTGAGAACCATGTCTCTTTCCAACTGATGAAAGCAGACATTTTTCTTGCGACTATTTTTGTTTTCTTTTTTTCATTGGAGAAGGCCAACCGATAATGAAGCTTTACCTATTTTAGTAAGTGAAAGACTTGGGTGGAGAAAGCTATGACCACAAGATGTCATAAAAGCAAAGTAAGCTTTTTTTAACACAAAGACTCACATGCACACGAACACACACACACACACACACACACTCCAACACACTTTGAGAAATATTTTTCTGCGACTTTATTTTCTAAAACATTCTGCAAAGCCAGAATGAAACAACTACGATGTTCCAGCACCATGTGTCATGTTAATTTGTTTTTATGTTTTTGTAAAATTATTCCAAGATTTTGTTGACTGCTTTTGAACTTTCTGCTGCAAAAAGGGGGGATTTTGTACATATATGTATAAAAAAAAAACAGTTTTTGCAAAGATCTTGCTGCATTTTTCTTGAATATCGATTTAAGAAAATTCCAGAGGAACCTGCTGAAACCAGCAGCTAAGTTGTTTGAATAGATTTACAGAAAAATGTGCTGTATCGAAGAGTGTCGTAAATGCACTCTCTGTTTCAAGCAAGTAAGACTATAGACTGAATTCTGAAACCAAGACCTCATATCCCCTCACAAAAAAAAGTCCTTTTTTTCCTTCCAAAATGCTGCTTTATCTTGTAAGTTAGGTTATGCTCTGTTTAAATGTTGAGATTTATTTTTGTATTTGAAGAAACATTTTTTAAAGAAAATTTCAAAGAGAAGCTATTTGGATGATAAACTTTTTATGGCTTTGTTTTCATGTCAATGGTTCTGTCTTGCCTCTTCATACATATTGGTTATGTCTGTTCTTTTACGCATTGTAAAGAGTGCTCCACCAACTCTGTAATGTAGGCCTGTAAATTAATTTTTCTTGCCTTGGTGAGTGAGGAGTGTGTTCTTTGGGCTGTGTCCCCTGAGCTATAAAATCGCAATATAATGAAAACCAAGAGAGTTCTTCCCTTATTAGTGGATCACACCCTCAGTTTGTTTCCTTCAGAAGTAGGCCTACAAGATTCTGAGACTGAAATAGTGATTGTGTTTTGCTCTGTGTGAACATAAATCCAAGATGCTGAAATGTACATTTAAATTCGCTGAGCATGGCAATAGTTCAGTGATGTATGAAATCAAATGTAATACTATAATATATTTGCATAAAAGAAACCAGGCATAGCCTATATTCATTTTTGACGTAAGTACGGGTGTGAAGATTTTGTATTTTGAATGTGCGGATAGACGTCTCAATATGGCAGAAAGTATCATTTTCATGACCCGAGAACTGTATAGTTCACCTAGGAACATTTTCTGGTTGCATTCGCACCGCCAGTAGGAAAAAGAAGCTTGTGAGTTCGCGGCGGACCTTTATAATGGCGCAGAGAAGGCCAGTTTACTGTCTATGCCCATAGATTCCATAGACATCTATGCATAGAGTCTATGCCAGAGCCAAGCGTGCCGCACACAAGCATGGCACACAAGCCCTCAAAAGTGACACCAAAGCGTCTTGATCGCCCCCCAGTGGCCGGTCCTAGTAAAGGTCATAAACACCGCCTCCACATGTTATTCAACAGAACGCGAGACCAACTAAACAATTCAATTACACTTCACATATCCCTTTTCCAAAGATAGTTTCTGTCATTTATTGTAGTTTAGATCACGTTTATGTAATTTCAAGTGTTTGTTTTTAAAATAAGTTTGTTTTTAGTTAGTTATGTGATGCTATAAAACGGTGCTCTGACATCATGATTGACAGCTGTGATTAATAGCAAAGTCCTTACTCTGTTAATAGTTAACACTAAATAACTTAATTAATATAACAGGTTCTCTGTGCGAGGTAATCACTGAAGCACCATAATGTTGATTATGTGGTTAGTAGTTGTATTTACCTTATTTTAACGAGGTTCTGCGATCAGCAGACATCATTGGAGAGGAACGGAGCAGACAGAGGCCAAGTGCGGGGCGTGTGCTTGCGCTTTACTTCCTGCTCACGACTGCGCATGTCTGGTCCCGAAAGCGCAAGAGCGCAGACTCAAGTTCCAAGATGTCAGCGCTTTATCGAGAGACTGGCGGCTTCAGTTCTCTCAGAGCCCTTCTATTAGACTATTAGGTTCTCTCTGATTGAAAAGAAAATAGCAAAGGGGCGTCGTCTTTTTTTTTTTTTTTTTTTTTTTACAGTCTATGGCCAGAGCCTAGTGAGCTCACAGGGGTCGCATCCTGCATCCGCGATCTGTCTTCTGCCTAATATGTTATTTGATATAACTATATACATATAAAGTGCAGTGAAGCTAAATTAGTTAATCAAAAGAGTTCTTAGAACTACAGTTTCTAGTTCCTACGGTGCGAGGGCGCCAAAATCTGGGTACTTTCGCCAGTAGTTATTTGAACTATAGACATAATAAATGATAAGTGCTTTAAACTATGCGGTGCAAAAGCCCCTGGTAGCTGGTACTCTCTGACATCACAGAGTACCACAACTTCCAATAGAAAAATTTAACTGCAGTAGCCACCGTTCAACCTGAAGAGAGCAACACTCAGACGTTTTTACACCATATATTGTAGAATTAAAACACTTTAAACCCAAATGTCAAAAAAATTACTTGAATCAATGAACAGCATTAATAAAGCCACAATATTACAGATCATTAACTAAAAAAATTGTTTTAGGGTTTAGTTACCCTTTAATGACACCAATTAAGGTCCCACAACTCAGCCATGTTGTTTAATATTGTTCGCTTTTCAATTGATCCAGATCAGTCTCATTAATATTTCACACACAAAAAAGAAAAAAAAAATGCTGCCACACATGGGTAGCCTATTTCATGAAACCTAAAGGCTAATTCATATGCATAAAAAAAAAATCATGTGCGCCGGGGAAAAAAAAGAGCTTTTTAAAGGCAATTCACGTGCGCAAAATAAAATTATATTCCCAAAATACAATTCACAAATTCATAGATATACAACTGTGGACACGTTTGAGCTTAAGAATGATCAAATTGTCAACCTCATGTCGATTTGCGTGTTTGTTTGTTTTTTCACTCTCCTCACTCGGGTCAGTCCAAAGCCATTGTGATGTAAAAATAACTGAAATACACCAGCGAATGAATCAGAAATTAAACAGGACATTTGTAGATACCCAACCCTGTTTTATCATCTTTAATATTTTTTTGCTTTGTTGGTGGTCAAGTAAAATTTCATGTCTGAAGCACATAAAACAGGAATTTCTTTGATTCACAAAATCAAGAATTCATTTGAAATTACTTCAATTGTCATCTGATACACGCATAACCTCAGGAATTTATTTCTGTTAAGATCTGTTCCACGTACAAAAACAGATAATAAAAGGTACAAAATGAGTATTAAATACGTCTTCAAATTTACCATAGCCACTGTATATACAATATTTGTCAATATCCTGCAGACTTTTTTTTTAGAAACAGTTGGAAAAAATAGTTTTCTCTTACACAAAAGAACTGAGTAATGTCAAATAACAGAAAAAGATGGTGCAACTGGGTTAAACTCAGTCTGTCTATGAGATGACCAAAAATGTCAAGACTCTTCAAATAATCAAAGAGCAAATACTGATACAAATAAACTTAAGCCTGTGATGACAGAACTCAATCTCAAACCATACTGAAGTCAAACGCATTTCATCACCCCTAGAAAAAAAAAATACAACCTTAAGACCTCTAATGGGCTTTATGCACAGCTACACTACATTACCAGCTCCTTTGTTTCCTAATTGATTAATCCAGGTGTGCCTGAGTCACACCTGGATTAATCAGTTTGTCCAAATATGGCAGACAGCAAACAAAGGAGCTGGCAGTAGTGCAGCTGTGCATAAAGCCAACTGAGTCTTAGTTGCTTATTTAAAATAAAATGAACTTAACAGTTAAATACCTCAAGTTTCTATATAAAACAGGTATCAAATGTCACAAATTTTAAGTAAACTGCTGTAAAATTATTACAAAACCACTGAGTGAGTCTGTGATTGTCATTTCCAGCTGTTTTACTAGTACTAGAGTGAAAAGATATCAGCTTAAAACTTCTTGACTTCAGGTGATTTGAGATCAAGCACACTCTCTGCCAAATAACAGAAACAAATCATTTGAATTCATCTAAAGACAGGCCTTATTATTGACAGTAACTGGTAGAACAAGAAAAATATTGAAAATATGAAAATAACATCCTTCCAGAGTCAAACAACATTAGCTGGCTAAGCAAAAGTATGTCAAGTTATAGGAACTATAAAAATCCACTGCCCTGACTCTTGAAGGCTGAGACTGTGTCCTTTAGGTGCATGAGGATTTCCCTTGTTTCGTTTAGACAGCATAGAAAGAGCAGTGATTGAGGGCATCCCATATTTGTCTCGGGGTTCCTGAAGTGCACAGGTGCCCTCATATCCATAGGACACATCAAAATAATGTTCTGTACACACACACACAAACACAAATAGTGTCCAATCACAAGAGTTTCTGTTTCAGGATCTCCCATACCATTCGTCTTCTGAAATAGGGCATGTGTTTCTGTTTAAAAAAAAGAACGAAATGTCAATATACACGTGTGACCGACCAATAACATATTTAGAACTCTATGCAAATTATGCTCACCTGTGTGAATGTGATTGGTCGGTCTTTGGTGATGTATTCAGCATATTTGCATGTGAACATTCCGCAGTCACTTCCATTCATTTGCTGAGGGATCTCCTGAGCATTCAGTGAAATACATCTTTCAGACGATCGTATATGTTTTTTGCGTCAATTTTAAACAATAGAAGCCCTAAATTACGTTGATGTTCTGAAACTCACATTGCGCCTTTTACTCTTTAGAGTCCATTCTGAGGTATCCAAGTTCTGCCCTTTCTTGTCTTCACTTTCTTGTTTCAGATATTTTCTGAAATACAGAGGCACAGTTAAACACGCCTTTGACAGTGTCTAGACATGCATAATTCATTGTTTATTTCTTAATGGGATTTATTTAGAAATGAGACTTCTTGCAGTCCTGTTTCATCATCTAATCCTCAGGCAGCACTCACAATAAAATCCTGCAGGCTTCGTCATTGTTTCCTCCCATGGAATCAAAGTAAGTGATGCTCTTCTTACGAAGGTCCACCACCTATTAAAAAGGAAGAAATGAGAACAATTAAAAACAATCCCAAAAGACTTCACAGTAAATAGTCAGTTCATATATTAAAAGGGGTCCCACTATGCTTTTTCAACTTTTTAGTGTGTAATGTTGCTGTTCGAGCATAAAAAAAGATCAAGGTTACAAAGCTCAAAGTCCACTCCAAAGGGAGATATTTTGTTTAACAGAATCCACTTTCCAAGAACTACAACGAACGACTCGTTTCGGCTACAAAGTGTTTTTTCGTGATTTTATGAAGTCACAATGTAACACATTTAAATAGTCTCCACCGACAGAATAGGCGAAAAGGGGACGAGGCCTGGCTGAGCTGCATTAGAGAAGAATGTGTCAGAGACACGGTTTTTTACATCCTGTTTCCAAAACTCATTGTCTGACCTTCCAAAGGCTGACAAACTTGATGGTTAGAATTTATTTTAAACACTGTTCCTGAAAACTAAAATCACAATGTGTGCTACACATTTTACAAGAACAGCTTCCAGAACCTAATTGCGCTTTTCCACTGTTGGTTCGACTCTCTTCGCTTTCCCACTGAATGATACGACTCGGCTCATCATGGCACGGCTCGGTTCGCTTTAGCTCGGTTTGCTTTTCCACTGCAGTTAGTACCGCTTCAAAGTGTGTGGGATTATAGTCTGACCGTTATAGTTTATTCGCTTCTCAGTGACCAAAGAGCACTTCTTGCACTTTGTCCACAATTCAGATATTTCTTTTTTGGAAGTTTTCTTTCTTTCTTTTTTCTTCAAGCAAGTAGTTTTAGCGGTGGCTGTTACTGGCTATTTAAATCTAGCGGGTTAAATGGTGTATAACTTTGTATGTAAGTACATACACAACAAAAAAAAATCAAGACTTCACAAAAGGGCATAATAGGGCCGCTTTAAACTCATTGAAATGTATTACAATACTATTCTGATAAACTAGTCAATGTCAGGAAAGAAATCAGTCCAAATGCAATGCATCTTCCATGCTCAAGTCCTCAGTGTGACCCTGGTGCTGGTTAGCTACTTACAGACAAGCACCAGTGTACCCCCAGGTGGACAGGCACCAGAATGATGTCTACAGAAAAGATGTCCACTTTCTTAGTCCAGCGGCGGACAGCAGAGTAACCGGAGCTACGCAGCTTGGGATAGAAAAAGGTGTTGAAGGTGTACGCGGAGGGCAGGTCGGGCTGTTTACTGCGCTCCACAAGCATGTTCATGTAGAAATTAATAACCTGAAAAGGAGAAAATATATTAGGCACAAATCTTGAGACATTTTCAGACACTCAAAAACTCATAGGTTTTGATAATTACGTAAAGACTTTTCAGAATCCATTTTAAAATACTACTGGAATTTACTACTAGACTTGTACAGAAACCTGAAAGATGTAGTAAAGCTCTGACCTCATCATTGAGCCAGTTGAGGTGGTTGAGGGTCTGCAGATCCTTCCTGGTGATGGTGAGGCGGAAGCCCTCGCTGAGAACCTCATCTTGACTGCCGCCTCTCAGAGCTCTGCTAACCTCCTTCTCCATGTCCTGTGAACATCACAAGCAGGAAACACACCACTCAAGAACATTCCTGCACTGCACACTTTCCCAAAATAGGGTTTGTGAGTTGATGAAAAGCAGTAAGTTGAGTTGTGAGTTGAAAGTAAAACAATTTTACATTTTTCAAAAAAAAAAAAAAAAATAGAACACATACTAAAATAAATAAGTCAAACCAAATGAGAAAGATTAACCATTTTAATCTGACCATTACCTGACATCAGATAACGTAAACATGAGAATGCGATGTTAACTTATTGAAATATTAACTAATAAATATTAATCTCAGTGGGTACCGTACTAAATACTTTTGTAAACAAAAAAGTTCAGGAATCTCTGATGTAATGCATTTCAAGTCAGATGATTTAAATAACATTACAGCCTCAAACTTTGATTATTAGTTAGTTAAAAAAAACTGATAAACTGTCATGATCAAACATCTGAGATTAATCACACAGAATCATCTGACAAAGTTTTAGAATTATGAAAAATTGAATATAGCTATTATTATTGCATAATAATTATAAATTACACAAAGAAAAAATAATTTTGAACTCTGGCTAACTACGGATAGCCAGTTTAAAAAAATATGAAAAAGTCTTTTAAATTCTATGTAATATTTACTACAGCACTAACCAAATTGCATGCAAATGTGTGACGCTGACAATGTGAACATTGTGCACAAGATCAAGACACTGCTCTAATACCAAAACAAGTTTATCTTTGGAACATTTAAAATCATGCAGAATAACATTTTGGAGAAAGACAAACGCCTAATAGTCTCGGACCTTGGACAAGTCATTTCAACAGAAACTGATGACCTTGAAGGGAAAGCACCCAATGTTTCACCCAAACATTGAAAATGCTGTCATCATTTCAAACCTATAGGACTTCTGTATAACATAAGAGGAGAATCTGAAAAAATACAAAAAATGTTTTGCCCATACAATGGAAGCCATTGCTAACAAAAACGGTTTGGTTACAGACATCCTTCACAATATCTACATTTGGGTTCTGCAGTAGATAGTAAGGGTCTTTCACACTGGCAGTTTAGTTCAAACCCGAGTATGTTTTGCATGAAAAATTGCTAATGTGAAAGTTTTCACGCAGACCTGGGCGCGCACAGGGGTACGACTACCTGTAGCAGGTTGTGCGAGGTTGCACTGGAACTATGGCATAGAACTATGGCACACTATGGTGTTTTTATTTAAAACACTGTTACAAAAAAATGTTGACAAAAAAAAAAAAAAAAAATATTACATGCAAATGTCCATCAAATTATGGAAAAATTCCTAGAAATATAATACTGATAGATAGATTTGAGTGGCCAGAGTGAAACCCCCTTAGTTATACAGGTTTGAAATGACATAAGGGTGAATAAATTATAAAAATGTTCAACTATCCCATTAGGAGCACTTACCTCTGTTAACTCTGGGAATTCCTGCTCCTCTTTAATAGGCTGAGGCTCTTTGATAACTGCTGCAACAGGAACCTCCTTCTCTAGAGGGACTCGAACCTTCAGCTCAACACTCGCTGGGATGGCTCGGCCCTCTCCAGAGAGACGCTGATTATACAAATGAAAGCATGAGTGGGCTTGTCATAAAATGCAGGTGTAAACTGAAGGGAAACAGACTCACCTGTCGCAGGAGCTGAGAGGCCAGAGCTTCCTGCTCTTCAATCAACCTCCGTCGTTCCCGAGCTCGAGAGTCATAGAGACTAGTCCTGAAAATAAACCCAAAGATGGCTGATATCAGAAGCTATTTACTTCCACAAACTAAAGCAAAGAGACTTGAACATATTAGATAAAAGATGACAAGTACTCACAGTTCTTTGATCCACAGCTCAGCCTGGAAGCACGGCACACTAGAAAGAGTAGGAAGGGGTTATGTAAAGAAAAAAAACAAAAGGAGATCAAAAGGTAAACTCAAAATGTTCTCTTACCTCGAGCTCTCAGGCTTCTTGCCCTGTTGCTCCTTTACAAAAATGACTGAATCTCCATCGTAAGCTAAAGAAAGTGAAACAACACATTAAGCTAACCTCTAAGCCAGGATTACATTACAAACATGAAAAAGAATGAAATGGGACTCACCTGATGACTGTGTGTCCTGAGAGGAGGTATCCTGAAGGGCAGCTGGTGATGGAGCTGAGGGAACAGCTGGTCTTTTAGTGCTGGGCTCAAGGTCATGGGCCCATTGCTGAGGCTCTGGAATGCTGGAGGCTGCACCAGGACTGGGCAGGGCACTGGAAGCCTGGCTGGACCCAGGCTGGGGGCTGGGAGGCATACTGGATAACCCGTAGGATGAAACACCAGCACCGGAGCCTGCCGGAGAGGCACATTGAAGAAAACTTCGACTGGATGACAGGAAGCTGGAGCTGAAACAAGACCAAATGTTTCACCATAAGCGAAAGAACCCATTTGAAACTAATATTAAAGGAATAGTTTGTCCAAAAATGAAAATTATTTACTCACCCATTCCAAACCCATAAAGGTTTCATTTATCTTTGAAAATATCTATCCCTCAATTAAAAGTCCACCAAAACTTTGAAGCTTCAAAATGTTCAAAAAAACATTGTAAAATGTATCCATTTGAATCGTGCCCTTTATATGATAAAATGCATGATAAAACATGCTTTCTTAATTAGTGACAGCAACCAATAAGGTTTGTTCTCGCATGCCAAGCAAGCATGTTTGAGCTTCCAAAAGAACCATTGAGGTTTGTTCTTGCATAAACCAAGCACCCACGATTGAACTTCAGTGTTTACCAAATTTGATGAGCTCAATTAAACCTGCCTAAATTAAACCTGTTTATCATATAAAACGACTCGAAGACTTAAGGATTCGCTCGATTCATTTGGATTTCTTTTACAAAGTCAAACTTTTTAATGAGTGATCGATTCGGTTGCATGCACTTTCAATGGATGGACAAAAAGGATATTAAAGACCTTTATTTGTGTTCTAAAAGTGGGTAACTGATAGCAGAATTTGTACTTTTGGGTGAACTAACCATTTAAGCAGATCAGGTTTAGACACTGACATAAAAAAACCCTTTGTACAATTATTTGACAAAGATACTTACAAATCTCGATGTGAACGAATGCTGGAGTGAGAACTTCCATCATGAAGGAAGGTCGACTGGCCACTGGACACCATGGCTAAGAGCTGCCTGTAAACCTCCTTTTCCTCCTCACGCACAGACTAAAAAAACAGATAAAAACAGTGAAAGCAAAGTCTAATTAATGCTGCCAATTTGGAAGGAAAAAAGTAAATAAAACACATAGAAAAAAATCATACCACAAATTGTTTTATTCTGATCAACCGTGCAGAGCCCTAAGGCTAATGAAGAAATTATAACAATATTTTATGCTTATGAAATATTTAGTTTATTAAACAAACCAGTATAATGATTTTCTAACCTCTTGTGCTGTACAGCGGACTCTGGTCCGGAGGTGACGGTTTGAGCTGCCATGTGAAGGACTCTGAACCACTCGAATGGGAAAGGTCTTCTCATACAGGCTGGTATAAGTGGCTTTTCCTGAACTGGTCTCCCCAGATGACAGCAAGCTACAACAAAAATAAAGTCATAACCTTGCATTTATTACACTTGTTTCAAACTAGAACAATAATAGTTATCACAACAAAACATACAGTATTATTTAATTATGATTATTTCTAACAAGAATATTGACCTGTGTGGTCGATGGTACAGGGACCTGCCCAAGTGGGGAGAGGGGGATGGTTTTGGCGTGGAGGCAGCAGGTAAATTAACCGAGTGACCGTTAGCTTTGTGTGTCTCGTGGGGTGGATGGTCAATACAAACTTGTCTTCTGCTTATTTTTGATATGGTTACTGATTGTTCCATCCTTAATGAGTCTGTCAAAACAAAAAAAGATTGTATACATCAGTATATGTAATCTGCAGTAAGAAAAATAACTACCTAACGACAGAAACAAAGAGAAAATGTTTTATTCTTACCAGATTTTGTGACAGTCTTCCACTCAACTGAACTAGATGGAGCCACAAATGTGTTGGATGATGGAGCCTCAAGTATATCACATGACTGATCCACAAACTTTAAGTAAAACAGAGGAGAAAACATTAAAATATATAGTAATGATAAAATGCATTAAACAGCACAACCGCTGTTGCTCTACTGTTATACCTGTTCTCAAGGACATCACAAATGCAAACTAAACAGATCTTGAGTAAATGAGTACCTTGTTTTCCACCCACATAGATGCTGATGCAGTAGAATTGGCTGCAGGCTCTGATGATATTCCTGCTTGAGGTGGACCCGGTGATGCTGGCAACATGTTCCCAGGGTTAGGTCTGACACTGTTCTTCACCCAAATTGCAACACTCGAACCATGGGTCTTCACTCCCTCGGCTGCATTTTTCACCGTATCCATAAAGTCTCCTAAAAACAAGCACACAAAAAAGTTATTGGAATTGACATATCTCAGTTTTTAATCATGTACTCAGAATAGTGTTACTTTAGTTACCCATTCTGAATTTCTTCACCACCCTCTCCTCCTCTTGGTCAACTGCATCTCCATCATCCAAACTATATAGAAATAATTGAGACATATGTAACAAAGTATTTAAATATGTAATGCATATTAAAATTAGATGTAATTATAAATATGTATACAAAAATAAATTACAAGCACGAATTAACTAAAATTAAAAATAGCCTACAAAATTCTACTCGTAATATTAACTATAATATTAACATTATAAAGTTGCGAATTTTATTGACATTATACAAGTAACGTTATATGAATACATCGAAAATCTGTAACAGTTACATTACAAAAGAGGAAGAAAAAAAGAAAAATAATTTTGCAGGTGCTTGAGAAGCGCACGCGTTTCTGACGTCATCCTTTCAGAACAGTTGGCGCTTTAATGACCGAACCAAAACAATCTAACTTATGACTAAACACAAACATTTAAAACCTATAATTTTAGCGTAGGACCAAAAGATAATTAAAAGCACAATTCTTCTTGCACACGAAAGCAAATATCTTACAATTCGTAGAACATCATTTTTACCTGTCTATGGGTCTTTTTCTCCGTAATGTCCCATCCTGATCCAATCTCACGGAACCGGCATGAACAGCACCAGCTGGAGCTCCGTTTCGCAGACTAGCGATTCCGGTTCCGATCCATTCGTAGAACTTATTAAACATGATGAAAGCCTGAAAGCCTTTATTTAAGCGGAATAAGTCCTCGGGGCTGTCAGCGCAGTCCCAAACGCGGGCTACCCCTGCCCTTCATCCGCATGCCACTGCTAACCAGCTTTGTTAGATTAAAAGTACGTTAGCTGAATCCTTCACTTGAGCACGAATAACTTAAACCAGCCCAGATAAACCCACACCACTGAACGTTAGCCCAACCAGCTAACCAACTGCTAACGCGTGAGATTCCAGCCAGCAATAATTATATCTGTGGTTAAGCGAGCTCCAACGAGTTGCCCGCGTATTAGTATCTGCTGTGGGTAGTTTTTCCTAACTAACTCGAATTTCTCAGAAACCGTAAGAGATACTGTGAATGAGATATTGAGTAACGTTACACAAAGTTATCTTTAACGCCTCCCGCTTCTTCCTTATTTAAAAGAAGAACATGGCCGAAGCTCACATGTTAAAACCGAGCTTTTCCATTGGACGAGCGGAGCGGAAGAGCGTCATCAGTGCGCAGTGTTTTGAAAGAGGAATGGTTGATCAAGTGCGAAGTGTCTCACACGCTTTTACCTCAAAAATATATTTTATAGAGTTATTGTTTTACTCAGTGACTCAAATCTTTTGAGTTATTTAATTATTCAGTCAGTGACTCTTTCTTCAGGTTACATCGTTATGCCAGTAGGTGGCGATAAATGAGTCGTTTGTTTGTGTTTTATGAGCGAGTCATTGAATCATTCACCGAGCTGAGTCTTTTAAAAAGTGATGTGAATGAGATTTCAAGACCCCTCACAATATGAGATATGTAAGCTTGCTCGTTTTATAACAAGAAAGCATTGTGTTTATCTCTATTATTAATGATAACAACACAAATAGGAGGGATTTGGAATTTTATTTTTCAGAAACTTTTACATTTATTTACTCTGATAAAGCTTTTCTTTTTGTTTTTTGCAATTGAAACATACATTGTCATTTATTGGCTCCATATTCAATTGATAAAAATATATAAGTCACTGTCTCTACCGTAAAGACCACAAACAGGAAAAATTATATGTAGAACTGCATTCTGTTGAACCCAGCAACAGTGATTTTGCACTCTTTTTGTGAACACTCTGAAGCTATGTACACATCCACATTTTCTTCAAAAATAGATATTTGCTATGATAATACATTAAAATTCTGTGTAATGATGAATTATAATTTACAAGACATACTCTAAACACAATAAATAATGCTCAACAAAGCATATCTGAGTCAAGTCATTGACTTTAAAATGGCAGTGAAAAAATCCCAATGGAAAATTTCTGACATGAAAATATAAAAGTGAATTTAAATAGAAACACTGATTATTTATTTTTTACTAAATCAGAAATCATTTGATTCATTTCGTACGTGCATTCTTCAAATCTAGCCGGCCATTCAAAAACCTTGTTAAATATTCACCTCCATATAGTTCCTCGGAATGATTTGTTGAAATGTTCTCATGCTGTGATATCACACTAGGAAATTTTTGAGTCAGACACAAAGAGGGAATAGATGGATAATTACACAATTTAACCTCAATGTGATATGCTGCTTGTGCTCATATAATGAATATTTCATGCACTTTCACAGCTAATGACGTCATATACGTTTCACAAATGTTAACACCAATGCATTTAATATGTTGAATTTTGTTTCCTATGGCACCATGTGTAAAACTAAATGGATGTTGTTAAAGTTTTACCAGTGTACACTACATATATTATGTATATCCTTTCTGCTACAGGATAAACACATGGCACATGGTAAAAGCTGAGGAGAGGGGACACGGAAACACTACAAATAGGTTCATCAGTTATCATTAGGTAATGTATTAACTAACAATGAGCAATACATTTGCTACAGTATTTATTCATCTTTGTTAATGTCAGTTAATAAAAATACAGCTGTTCATTGTTTAATGCTAGTTCACAGTGTATTAACTAATGTTAACAAATACAACCTTTGATTTTAGTAATGTATTAGTAAATGTTGAAATGAATATTAACTTAGATTAATAAATGCTTTAGAAGTTTATTCATTCTTAGTTTATGTTAACTAAGTTAGTGAACTAATTTTAACTAATGAACCTTATTGAAAAGTGTTACCGGAAACACAACAACGTGCACTGAAGATCCACATCATGCTTGAGAAGATAGGATCAGTCAGACCAGAGGGACAAAAGACACTCAAACAGCAGGTTAAATAGCACTTTCACTGCCGTTCAGGAGTACCAAACAACTGGAGAAAGAAAGAGAAGATGTAAACAATGTCCAGATATATGCTGAGGGTGGCAAAGATGTATTCTTCAGGACTTATGGTGTATCGCTTGCTTCCCATCAGCATCTGTGTGTCAAATGCCAGGAACTAAAAGACAAAAGGATGAAAATGATTAATGACAATAAATAGCAACAAACAACAGAGATAATGCTGCGTGCGGTCTGGTTTATTTTGCAATAATGATATGCTGACTGTACATTATCATGCTTTTTACATGGCTACGCACCAATAAATAAATAAATTAACATTTAATATTGAAATAAATGTATAATTATGTACCATGCAAAACAGTATTGCTCCCAAGACAGCATACACAACGTGCAACCATGGAACCTAAAGGAGAGAGAAGCATTTGTCAAAGTACATTCTCGTTTCGGTGAATATTAAAGTCTACAAAATCAATCGATCATCGGTACTCACATATCCAAAGGGCAGGATGAATGCCAGGACAATTCCACAAATAAACACTACTGTACAAAAGACTACCAGCACACCCTGGTATGAAGTAATATCAATCTGTAAAATCACAAAAATTTGTTTGATCTAAATAAATACAATCCAGATTACAGTTAAAATGGAAATATTTGTTGCTTCAAAAATACTAACCTTAGTTTGGAAGCTAAAGATGGTAATAGCAAGACAGACCAAGACAGTAATACCCAGGCAGATGATGACAGATTTAGTATTGTAGTAGCTAGAGATATAGAGCCAAAAGGGGAGATTTTAATCAGAAATAAACCAATAAAAGATTTCACCTTCATGCACAAAGATTTCACCTTCATTAATCTTATGACATACAAGCAGTGATGACATATTGTACAAGTAAATATGAATATGCAACCATGAATGCAGGCAGCAAAAAAGATATGATATACTTATAACTTGAGACTGTACCTGGACAGCATTCCTGTCATGTAAGAAAGAGACAGAGTCTAGAGTAGGAGAGAAGAGATTACATGTTTAAATAGGGGAACACCTTCTTTTAAATGTGACAACAGGCTTGTTCTTGAGCAGTACTGGTACTTCTAGTCCAGCACTTGCACTGACTAGTAGATATAATGACCAAAGACTGGTTAGTACAGTTGTTCTGGTTGTTTTAATACTCACAAAGATCATGAGCAGAATCAGATTCCATGGGAACTGCCTCCTGTAAATTAAAAAAAATGTTGAATGGAAATTATTCATTAAATATGAAATATTTTATTTTGCATGAATAATATCCATCTATCTATAGACTACAAATACACTCACCTGGGTCCACGGCAGCAGGACAGGGTCAGATATGTGACAAAAAACACTGCACTATTGAGAGAAAAAAAAGACAATTAAGACAATATACATCACAAACACATAAAGCACACATTTAAATAGTACCTTACACTAGCACTGAATTAAGGCTGTCTAAACACCAACAGAATTTTAAGATTTACTGTACATTTTAAAAGATCAACTAGAAAGTAATGATTTTTACTTACTATGATGCCCAGTACCAGCCAGGGTTGGTCTGAACGTAATCTTTCACGGGTTTACTACAAGATAGACAAGACATGTTTGTGAATCAAGCTTAAAAAAAGAACAATGCAGTATGAAAGTTTTAGCACACACACTCACCAGAAAACAAAAAGAGCCACAAAGGAAAATGTGACAGAGAGCTGGAGCATCAGGATGCTGTACACCTACAGGAAATATTGTTACATTAATTCACTTCATATGGTCCACAGCAGATGAGAATCACTAAACAGAAGAAAATGTTACCTTGCGGATAAATATTCTCCTGATCTTTCGGTCATCCCAGCTGAATTCTGTGAGCATCTCACCATCTTCGGGATAAGCTCCACTATAACAAGGACTGCCACCTTTCAACACCAAAGCATATATTAAACATCTTGTTTCTCACAGGTATTCTTGAAAACATCCACAGTGACTGTCATGGGTGTTGAAGTGGTACCCATGCCATTGGTGTCCCAAAAGTATAGTAGTGCATAGTTACCGAAATGCAATTGCATTGACTGAATTAATCTAATTATTAGTGCAGATCAGTTTAAACAGTAAATTTACTAAAGGAAGAAAAGAAATATTACCAGTAGTTGCTTCATGGTAACTTGGAGGAGCTGAGGCCACAGGCTGAGCATCAGCGCCATTGTCTGACTTGTTTGTTACTGAAAGCTGAAAACATATTAAACTTTATTTGTTATTCTGTATGCACGCAACGGCAATATGTTGGTTTTCCTTAAAAATATATATATATAGATAGATAGACAAGTAGGTATTTGTTACAGAACTAGGTATTCATCCATGTATTACTCATCTGTCAGGGCAATACTTTAATCATTATGGCTGCATACATTGGTAAATAATTGTACATACAGTAATGCCATCCAATAGTATACGCTATAGTAACTGAGAATGGAGAGACCGAGAAATGTATTCAGACATTATTTATCGATGACTGATTCACTGTAATAGGAGAGTTTACTTGGCATCACGAGACACCTTAAAAAGACGCTTTCCTCCTTAATGGCAACTGAAGAAAAAACTTGTTTACAGAAAATTAAAAACATAGTTGAAACTATAGAAATTCAAGTATAATCAGATATATGTTCAATCGGGAAAAGAACACATGGAAATAAATGTCTTGCAAACATTATTTTTTTTAATTCTACCTTATCTTGTTCATGCGCAGTTGTAAAACACTGTGATATATGATAAAACAGCAGGGTTTCAGAAATGAAAAGGCGTTCCTAAAGCAAAAATATAAAAATGTATTTTAAAAGTATAAGGCACAAATCCAAAACATGACAAAGGCTTAATTTTCAGCGTCACTGGACCATCATTTAAACTGAGACAAAACCAGAACAGGGCAGAAAAACTAGCACATGAAAAAAAATGTCAGTCATCCAGACCATTGCGAAATCGCAGAAAAAAGAAAAAAAAATAGAATTCCTTGCTTTTGGTGAATAGTCAGCAATAACTGGTAAAATGGTAAAGAATAAAATGCTTACCTTTCCCTGGGTCATGGTCACAGCTTTGAATCTTATTTGGCTTACTTAAAAAAGTCTTAGTGTCTCTTTAGAGCTTTAGCCTGTATTCTCTGCACCTGTCTGGGATGCTGCACGCAGATAGTGACGATGCTGTACTGAATAAACCGCATTTCTATGACCACAGCCCCCTCCCCTCCCTCACTCGAAAAGGCACATTCTAGCACCATCCAGGTTTCAAAACACCATTGACTGAGACTTGGACTGTACCAATCATGCTGGCAGAAAAGGGGTCATCATTTTCCCCATGACGTGCATTAAACTGTGTGTGCATCAATCCCGCAACATTTGTCCAGAGAAATCCAGAATTTTCCCACACCACCCAAAACAGAGAGAAGTCTAAGAGGAATGTAGGAAACAATAAGAAATAAAATGCACGACAAAATCAAAACGTTTACTAGAATCCTCAATTCAAAGACATTTATTCATTCAAGCATCATAATGAAGTAAATAATAAAAATACACCTCAGTTGAAATGGGTAGTTCAATGACATGTCTGCGCTTGCTTTCTTTGAAATACTGATGTAGCCTATTACAACAAACATTATTACAATGATAATCACCAATATATTTTAATTGATGATGACAAATGGATGTGCCCTCATAAACCAGAGTGTTCCATCATTTGTATGTTAGAATGTTTGAAAATTTATAACTAATTTTCAATGTTCCTCAAACATGCAAAAGATAGTTATAACCAGATAAATAGTACATTCAAGTCTTCCTGGGAAGTTCGCAAGCCTACGAGTTGGGAAGTCGTGTTTACGACGTGGTGCTTTCAAGTCACAACTAGGCCTACACAAAATACATCTAGGTTTTAAAACTCTTTTTCTAAAATAAAACACAATGAATGTGCTTCAGGTTTATTATACAGTTCAATGTTTTTAATTAATCGATGAAGTCAATTAATTAAAAACTCGTTTTAATATTAGGCCTATATTATTGTTATATTCAAATGCGATTATATTTTGTGCAGACAGTTAGCTTATTTTGTTGTAAATAAATAAAACTGACTGACAATGTCACTAAAATAACATTCCACAAATTCCACCACGTTTCTCAGACACGGCCCCAACTGGTAAAGCTCGGGACAAATCCCGAGTGTAAAAGTATCACTTAAACAACAAATCCAGTCCCCAGATAGTGTTATTCCAAAACAATACATTTGAAATCGTTTTAGGTTTCAAGAACACATCTATCATCTTGTAAACTGATCAGACTTTTGACATTCATATGAGGAATGACAACAACTGCAAATAACGAATCTAACAGTGGCACACGAATGAACAGTTTGGCCTTCAAGCAGAACACATGAAATGGTCCTATTAAAACACAATGCAAGTATATAACAAACGCATTCTGAAGCAACTCTCTGGCTTCCAAAAACGAAACAAAAAAATTAATTAACACAAAATTGTTAAAAATATTAATTTCAAGGGACAAAGTCTAAATATTTACTGTTAAAAAAGGCAGCTCAGATGAAGATTGCAGATTGATTACAGGAGGCAAGGTTAGCAGCAGACTAATGTATAATCTACATTTACTGTCAGGTGTTCTATTCCAGCTTTGTATAAAGCCACACAACTTTTGAAGGCAACAATAAGGTTCAGATGTGACTTCTCAGATTACAGATTGTCATTTTGGGAACACCAGCTGCCTTCTGCTCCACATGGATGGCTAATTCCCATCATAGATCTCACATAACATAAACAGTGCAGATATGTGAAGCTTGTTGTAGTGCTCTTGTTCTATTTATTTCTCACACTAAGCATGTTGTTTCTGCTGTGGAGGAAGACCTGGAGAAATAGGAAATGGGTACCAAACAACGTAGGTCACGTACCAACCTAATATCCCACACAAGGTCCCTAGAATCTTGTCGATAATATCATGGAAATACACAGAAGTGCATCCGAACATCCATACCCAGATGACTACAATCGCATTAAGTGCTATATAAAGATAATCAAGGGGAGCGTTTCTGCTAACATCAGTTATGTGTAACATGGGCACCATTTCCTCCACAATCACAAGAGAAGAGTAAGTCAAGATGAAGGAGTGTCCAGATATGTCAAATCCATCCCAGATGAATCCAGCCTCCCTGCATGCCGCCTTTGTGGTAATGTCACCACCAAGGGTGCCTTGCATGTTTTCTGGCTCTTTACATGAACCTGTAACTTCTTCAATGTAGAAAAAAGTCTCAGTGCAGGTGTACCAAATGAGAGTTGCTACCAGTAGTGATGTAAGCCGCCTCAACACAAATCTGTGGCTTTTGTTGTAAGAGTTGGAGTAAAGGATGAATGGCAGAAGCAAAACAATAGTCCAACCCCAAGAAACTTTCACAAAATATCTGAAAGTAAAAAAAGTTAAGCAAAAAAGATTAAATGACTTTGAGCCAAACATCAATGTCATTTTAAGTTGTCAATGTCAAGCGTTGCTTTTATTATCGTATATATTGCTTTATATGCATATTAGTATTATTTTCTAAAAACGGAACACATTTCTAATAAAAATATTTCGTTTTACAGTGTTTTAATGAGTTCTAGCTGGGTAAGGGAGGTAGTATCCTAGACTTGTACTCACAGATTTAAAACATTCCTACTGCTACTGAAGTAGCTCTCCGGCACGAGGTCCATCATTTTCAAAACTGATCCCGTAAACGAGATACAAAAGAACAAGTGCGGTAAATAAGCACGGGTACATGGCTGTCTCCAGAAACAAGCCAAACTGTTCACTAAGCTGCCTACAGCAGCCATGTTGTTCTATGCTGTGTGTGCTTGAATCAGCCTTGAATGCGGAAACAAAACCCGAGATCCTACGAATCCTACTATGGTTACGGATTGCTAATTAATATTCATGAGCAAGCGTTCACCATTGGATAACTACCTAGAAACGTCCCCATAACTTAATTATTATTCAAGAGTCAGACGTCTGCCATTGGAAGGTTACCAAACACGTCAAAGCTATTTGATTAATATACATTAGTGAACCGGTTGCTGTAATTTCGCAATCTGGAATCGGGTGAGTTTAGCATGCCATGGTAATAAAAAAATTATAATAATTTAAAAAAATCACGAACTCACAGTACTAAATAATTCATACATTTCCTCAACCAGAACAGACGTTGTTTAAATGTGAGTTCAAAAGTTGAAAAAGCTATTTTAAAGCATGACAAAATATAGATTCTAAAATATTTATCACCAAAGTTAGTTGTTTCACTTTTTTAATATAATGTGTCTTTCAAGAAGGGAATTAGTAGTTTTTTCAACATGGGTTTTACTGTCTGTCCAATAGGTGGCACTATAATAAAATCACGAAAAACCTTGAGACTCATTTTTGGCATGATTTATACATTTATTCAAGCACCGTGGAAAGTTCCACAGGCTTGCCCTTTTTGCACTTTTTATTGACAAGTCTGTACTTATTCAGGGGCAGAGTTTCCAAGCATGTGTGCCAGTTGGCTATGTTGTCTCTCAATTCTGCCCACCTCCACATTGGGCCAGACAGAACAGTCTGACAGGATGTTAAATGCTGGTGTTTTAAAATTCATTGCCATGGATTTAAAAATCATTTGGACATCTCTATAACAGTTAGCTACAATTGGAAGCCATACAGGTCCATTTGGACCCTTATTTGAATAACTAAATCCAGTTTGGACACCTGGATGCAGTCATGAATCATCAAAAGAAGGAGGCTATGTCATCTTGGAAACATCTGTTAGCTGAATGGACCTAAAACATTTGACATCCACATTTTCACATGCAAATCGAAACCACATTCTTTTTATTTTTATACTCATTTTAGATGTATTTTTACATAGACATAATAAACCAGCCAGCTGAATAGCTCTGATTTAAACATAAAAAAACTCGTAAATATAATTTTTAAACTCTAGATTAGAAAGTAATGAAAGTATTTTCACAAGATTTCATTTATTTACATCACATAAAGTAGCCTACATTTCATATTTTTTTATTTACGTTACCCACGGCCACTGATAAAACCCTTTAGACACCACACTTTAAGTGTCTGGACAAGATGATGTCATATTAGTGGAAGTGGGATTGTCTAGAGGTGTTTGACCCACTTCTCACAGAAGAGGGCCTCAATGAGTTATGGTTTTGTCTCTTCCTCAGAGCATTCCTGACAGTAAATCTGAAATGTTACAGCTTGACATTAGTACATCATGTGTGCTTCATGTGTGCTTCATGTGTGTGTGTGTGTGTGTCCATGCAATGAAAATCAACGAGGTCCAAACATGTTGTTTTGGACCCCTTTGATTTTTATTGTATGGAAAGAAACATTCTTCAGAATTATCAGAGGAACATAATTTATGTACAAGTAAATGATGACAGAATTTTCATTTTTGTGACTTTTATTTGAAGACAAAATGATTCTATCTATAACTGAAGAATAGTTTTGGGTAATATTCAGTTAAAGTGAATTATTCATGTTAATTTATTTAGAGATTCGTATGTTTTAATTTTATCAGTGTTGTTCCACATGATGTAAGGCCTACTGTTATAATATTTTACTGTGTGATTTTTTTTTTATTAAATGCAGACTTTCCAGCTAAACTGTAGCAAATTGTTAGCCTGGATGCCAGCCCGAACCCCGCCCACAACATTTTTTGGTCGGGAAGTTCTGACAAGAATATGAGTATGACGAAGTCAGGCTAGCAAATTGTGCTATAGCACCAGGATCTTGTTTTTTTTTTTCTTCATAACATTTTTCAAAATGTTTTCTTATGTGTTACATATATAGACAAACTAAAAGTGAATGATGAAAGAATTCTTATTTTTAGGAGAACTATCCTTTTTTTAATGATTCGAGGACAAAATAACTTGATTGATTAACTGAATTACAGTTGTTGTATTCAATCAGTTGAATAATTTGCTTATTGGTGTGAATTTAGTGATTATATTTGACTTTTATAAATATTAATCGTTCACAGATTTTACATTGGTAGAATTTTTCTGCTATGATTGTTAAACTGGTAGCAACACTGGTACCAAATGGTGCTAGCAATGCAAGGTCATTGATATGCAAATACTGAAAAAATAAGGTTTCAATCTACTTTGGATAAAAGTGTCAGCCAAATTTTATCAATTAAAAGTTAGTATCTATCTACATTTGAATAGTTAGTGTAATGAGAATATGTGTGTGTGATTCGATTCCTTCCAGTAACTGTTGGTCAGACCAGACCCATTGTCTCTGTTCCCTTCAAAACAATCCATCACCATGAACAGTTACATCACTTAGCAAATTTGTTTTCAGGGCTGCCAAAACAAAGTTTAGACTGCTGAAATGACAAATGGAGCAACAGCAGGGAATGGGAAGTCCTGGATTTATGCTAAATGACGTGATTCAGACAGAAAGACCCTTTTCATTGCTGTGGAGGAGATAATGGCACAGCTGTGCACCTTTTAAAGTCACCATTTCTCTCTCTTTTATTCCCACAATGCACAAGGAGAAGCATGAATGAGGTGCAGTCAAGGTAACATTATAGCGATAAGCTACACTGCTTGTACATGCACCGAGTGATTCATTTTATATTTCTGCTCAACATTTATCACCTCCTTTGAAGTGTGATGACAGCGCTATTAAGTATGTGAGAGAATTGACAGAGACATGTCTGTGGCTATTTTTAAACTTTACACTCGACAAGGGCACTTTGTGGCTTAGAGTTATGTTTACATCATATTAGCACATAAAGCTGTCAAACATTTGACCCAGGGAAGAACGTTTATAAATGCGTCTCGTCAATGAAATTACTAAGCTTGTGCATTTTGTATACAAAGTCAAAACCATACGGTTAAGTAGTGATCATCTAGAGAACAAGTTACGGCTCTCTTGCCTATATAGCTAGTAAGCTAACAGAAAGTCTTCCAAATACGCCTCAAGTTGAACCTTGACCCTGCCGACCTTGGCAGTTTGAGGATGACTGCTAACTTTAAAAGTTTCCTTTAAAGTCTCTATACATGCAGATTAAAAAGGCTTTATTTCTTCATTATATTTTGCTTATAATGCGGTACTAAATTGAATTTAATACTTACGTTAGCTGTTAGCCCCCCCCAAAAAACAAACTGGAAGTCTTGTTATTTAAAAGTGTTGATATGTTTTAAATGTGAACTTTATTAGTTAAGAATGACAAGCAGACTGACTCACACAATGGATTATGGATTCGAAGTCCCAAAAAGCATACACAAGTGCAAATGATAGACGCACTGGACACATAGTGTAATCGAACAACATTTTTGATATTGTATTATTTAGTTTCTGCTCAATGTGAGGTAAATATTCTGCATAGGCTAATTGCCATATAGTGTTAATATGTCAGAATCTACTCAATGTTCTTGGTGCTATTCAGCAGTTGCGACAGTCAAAGTTGTGCTGTGTATATTGGCAATGGCCATAGACTAGAGATATTACGCATGGCTTGTCCTTCCTGAATAGACAGCTGGAACAATTTTCTGACTTGGCAATGACTTTAAAAGTTGGACTTTAATTCATAGAACAACTCCCTCCCTTTTATAAAATGTGCTTATTCAACTTATTTTATTGAAACATTTTGCCAGGACGGCTGAGTGCAGCTCCAAACAAAGCTCACAAAAAATCCCACATGTCCGATATAAGCGAGGAACAGAAACGGATGATTTAAAGGAACAAGAGCCAAATGTAGCCAAGCATTGTAAAAAAAACAATTTGTCCTTGAATATTAATGTGCATGCTATTACTTACAATATCCTATAGTATTTGCATATCAAAGGATGATATACTGGTGAAAGTTGCCCAAAAAGCTGTAAAAAAAAACAACCTTTAAAAATCACGAAAGAAGAGAGCTATGACTGTTGAAAAGTCATGAATCTTAAAATCCTGTTGGAGAGCATGTCTGTTTGGAGATTCCACTGAGTCTGTGCTGAAAAAGCAAAGACTTCCATTAAATTTTTTCCTGAACTTTGGGAACATCCCTGTGGGGGAAGAAAAAGAGACAAGGGCTTTTCTTTTACGTCAAATGGCCTTAGAGAGTTGGCCCAGTTAAAGTTTGCTGCCTCACATGTCAAAGACGTTGTTTGCAAAGGCCAGAGTTGAAGTGGAGATCTTTTCAGCTGCTCTTCTCCAGGCTGTGCTAAAGTGCCGGAATCACTCCTGAAGGCATGTGCTGCTGTGAAGACCACTGAGGACCCCCGCTCTCTTCACACTGAAGGACTACATAAGTATATGCCACACTTTTCTCCTAACTAGCCATTATGTGTTAATTTTTTAATGATTAGTTTAAAAAAATCAAAAGAGTTTATTGAAATATCTTTGTTGCTGATGTATTTACTTTTCCATCAGTTTAGATGGCCATATAATACCTTCAAAGACTAGTGAGGGCATTTGAGTGTAATGTTTGTCAATTTGGTTAAACCCTTTTGTAATGTAAAATTATGTTAGATTCGATAATCGTGGTTAATCATTTTGACAGCATGTATTAATGTATGTATTAATTTGACCATGTAAAACCATAAACAGGTTTAAACCATTTATTTATTTATTTACAACTCATTTTATAGTTACTATGTACATTATATAATGTATATTAAATACGTTATTTAATTTTTTAGCAAGATATAAAATAACATCTGTCTATATAACTAACAAAGCAAATTGTATAGGATTAAATTAGGCTATGAAACTACCTATATAGGCTATATATATATATATATATATATATATATATATATATATGTGTGTGTGTGTGTGTGTGTGTGTGTGTGTGTGTGTGTGTGTGTGTGTGTGTGTGTGTGT